CTGCTGCTGCTGCTGCTGCTGCTGCTGCTGCTGCTGCTGCTGCTGCTGCTGCTGCTGCTGCTGCTGCTGCTGCTGCTGCTGCTGCTGCTGCTGCTGCTGCTGCTGCCGCTGCTGCTGCTGCTGCTGCTGCTGACTGTGCTTGGGCCCCTGCATGTGCGTGCATGCAGGCGTGCGGCGGCTGGAGTACAAGTACATAATAAAGGAGGGGCCCCGGGTCACTTGGGAACCTGGCCAAAACCACACTTGGGGGCCCCCAAGTCCGAAGGGCCTCCGCACGGCTTCGGGGCCCATTACGGTGCAGGACTCCTGGGGGGGGGGCCTGGGCTAGGCTGCCCGCGCTGCAGCAGCAGCAGCAGCAGCCGCAGCAGCAGCAGCGGATACATTGATGCTCAGCACGGGGCCGTTTATAAAGACACCGCTTTCACCTTTCTGGAGCTTTCTCGCTCCGTGCTGGTGCGACAGACTAGCTAGCCACTAGTCACTAGCTAGCTAGCCAGCCAGCTAGCCAGCTAGTCAGCTAGCTAGCCAGCCAGCTAGCCAGCTAGCTAGCTAGCTAGCTAGCTAGGCCTTCCTCGCCGCTGGCGAAGGACCCCTTAGATGGGCGCCAGGAGGCGCCTTGGGCTGCAGCGGCAGCCGCTGCAGCTGCAGCTTCTGCGGCAGCAGCTGCAGATTCGGCAGCTGCTGCTGCTGCTGCTTTTGCTGCAGCCGCAGCTTCTGCGGTGTGCGTACAGTGCCGGACGGTGCTGCAGCAGCAGACTGTGGGCTGCTGCAGCGCACGTTCTTTGAAACCGCATCTACCCTCACTGGCCACCTTAACTGCGTTTTCTAGCTAGCTAGCTAGCTAGCCATTTAGCTAGCTAGCTAGCTGAGTAGCTGGCAGCAAGGCAGCTAGCTAGGCAGCTAGTTAGCCAGTGGCAGCTAGCTAGCTGGCTAGTAGCAGCTTAGCTAGATAGGCAGCTAGCCATAGGGCGGGCCAGAAAGAAGCAATGTTGACAGGAGAACAGACCCCGCTAGATGCTTAGGAGCTTGTATCGAAGCAGCAGCAGCAACAGCAGCAGCAGCAGCAGCGGAAGTCTATTGTTAGCAGCAGCGGCAGCTGGCAGTAGCAGGGGTGTAGAGAGAGGACGCCAGCAGCAGCAACGAAAGCAAGCGTTGGCAGCAGCGACGTATTGCAGCAGCAGCAGGAACAGCAGCAGCAGCAGCAGCGCAACTTTCTAGCGTTGATTCCTGGCAGCATTTGCAGCCCGTGTGGGGCACTCAGCAAGTAGCAGATGCTGCTGCAGATAAGCTCCTCTCCGACTGCAGCAGCAGCAAAAGCAGCAGCAGCAGCAGCAGCAGCAGGAAAAAGGCACTGCCGTAGTTGGGGCTTTCTGCAGCAAAGACAGAAGCTTGCGAGGGAAGCAGCAAACTCGAGATGAATAAAATTTCCCACGGAGTCTAGTTAACAGAAAGGGCTGTGGGGAAGCCCTGGCAAGCTGCAGCAGCAACTGCTGCTGCCGGCCCGCCGCAGCAGCCAACTGCTGCTGCTGCGAACCGTCTACCCTCGCTGCTGTCAACCCGCCGCAGCAGCAGCTGCTGCTGCTGGGCTGCTGCTGCACCTGTTCCAGCAGCAGCAGCACCCGGTCCCCACCGCCGGGAGCTGCCCCGCCCCGGAGCTGCTGCTGCCGCAGCAGCAGCAGCTGCTGCTGCTGCCGCAGTCAAGCCGCGGCCTCCTGCCCCCTGAGCTTCTGGCTGCTGAGGGCAGCAGCACGCAGCCCCACACTCACTGCGCAAACTGTGGGGCCCTTCTCGCTGCTGGGATCGGCCGATCCCCTGCTGGGATCGGCCGATCCCCCCCCAATAAACCCTTCGCAATTTGGGGCCCCACAAAGACACAGCATTTCTTCGTACCCAGGCCCGTACGCGTAAGTCAGCGCGCAGCCTGCGGCCGCAGCAGCAAAACCCAACCCACACTACATCCTTCAACACAAGGGGGCCCCGGGGAGCCTCAGGGGGCCCCCGGGGGCCCCGGGGGGGCCCAGGAGGCATTTGTGGGGCCCCAGGGGGCCACAGGGGGGCTTTGCGGGGCCTCGGGGGGCCCCCGGGGGCCCCCGGGGGCCCCGGGGGGCCCTCGGTGTGTTTAAAGCCTTTAGTGGATTTAAAGCATTGAATGGTTTAAAGCCGTAGGTGCCTTTAGAGCCTTGAATGCTGTTAAAGCCCCGAAAGCGTTTAAAACAATTTAAATGTCGTTAAAGTCTTGAATAAAAACTTTAAAGAGTTTAAAGACTCAAAAGGTTTTTAGTACTTTAAAGACTTTAAGGGTTTATTAGCACTGTGGCCTTTATTAGGCATTTTGGGGTCTTCTTGTGGGAATTTAGGAGGTCTAAATGGCCAGAATGCATTGAAAGAGAAAGGGAAGAAGACTAAACCCTAAAAAAGGGTTTTAAGTGGCTTTTTGGGGTTTGAAATTGGCCCTTTGGGAGTTTCTGGAGGCCCACCCGCGGGAATGTCCTTCTGCGCAAACACCCCCACCTGCGGCAGCGCGGGGCCCCGCCATATTGTGGCCACGCGCACATTCGGGTTGCAGGAGTGGTTTAGAAAGCGACTCGCATTTCCAATAAACTGCAGCAGCAGCAGCAGCAGCAGCAGCGGCGGGGGCAGCAGCAGCTGAAAGCAGTCGGAGATGCACTCCAAATTGGAAACAGATTCGCAGCAAACCCCACAGCTGCAACCCCAAAACCACAAGAACCCCAAACCCTCGAAAACCCTCTAAACCGTCCAAAACACCCAAACCCTCGAAAACCCTCCAAACCCTCCAAAACCCTCAAACCCTCGAAAACCCTCCCCAAATTCCTCAACCCCTCCCTCCAAAGCAAGGAAATAAAACCCTAGAAGAAACAAACTCAAAAACAAATCAAAAAATTAATTAAATGATCGCCAGATATAAAAAAAGACCAAAAAAGATGCCAAGTGCTCGCAACACACAAACGCATTAATGCACGGAGCCGCAGCGTCATACACAAGACCTCATGGCCTCATTTTCAACTTTCCAGGCCGCCAAAAATATGAAAAAAGAACTCAAAATAAAACAAATAAACATTAATTCAAATAAATCAACTAAATGAGCTTTAAATTCGCAAAAAAAGACCAAAAAAGTATCCAACTTGGCTGAAAAGAGCATCAGTTCAAGGAGCTGCAGTGTCATAGTTAAGACCTAGTTCTTCTCCCACAGCCTCATTTTCAACCCCCCGAACCCCCAAAATAATCCAATTAAAACTCACTTTAAATAAAACAATTAAATAAACACTAAATACCGACAAAGAAAACCAAAAAAGGCGTTTAAATTCGCTGACAAGAGCACCAATGCAAGGAGCTTCATAACTGAGTTCGCGCTCCCGCCCACGGCCTTATTTTGAGCCCCCTGAGCCCCCAAAAACAGGAACAACCCCCCCATTCAAGTAGATTAATTAAAGAGGGACAAAATAACGAAAAAAGGAGCAAAAGAGTGTCTAAAATGGCTGACAAGAGCGTCAATGCAGGGGGCTGCAGCGTCGTAATTGAGGTCCCGCTCCTCGCCCACAGCCTCCATGCAGTAGTTGTGGAAGCCGCGGCGAGAGGCCTGGCGGGAGCGGCCGTCCATGGCTGCGCGTGGGAGGACTTCGCCTACGTACTGCATGATGAAGGCGCCGCGGGGAATGAACTCCTGAAAAGCCGATTTCGAAGCCCAGAAACGCCGCCAAAGGCCACACTTTTGGCACAGATCGCAAGAATGCAAGTAAAAGATTCAGATGGAACGAAAAGCAGAAAAAAAGGACACAAAATGAGACTTCTGCGGCCCGAAAAAGACTAAGTCAAAACACTTGCAAGGCCGTGGGGGGGAAAGAAAGGGTTTGAATTCAAATGAAATTCGAAAGGGAACGAATTTAATTCAAATTAAATTCAAAAATGAATTTAATTTAGATTAAATTTAAAAAGAATCAATTAAATTTAAATTAAATTCAAAAAGAAACGAACTTAATTCAAATTGAATTCAAAGAGAAAAGACTTAAAGTTCAAGTACGAGAAAAGGCTGCAAGAGCTTAAAGGCAATAAACCAAGAAGCGTCAAAATCGCCATTTAGGGTTTCAAATAAAAACAAATAAAACAAATCCACAAAAAAAATAAATCCACAAGTCCTTTTCATGAAGCAGAAAAAACCACCAACAAATTCAGAAACCCCTTGGAACGGACTCTGAAAAGCTTCCCTTTGAGGGTTTACGAGGGTTTACATGAATTAATTAGGGTTTACGAGGGTTTAGAAGAATTTATGAGGGTTTGATAGGGTTTAGGAGGGTATACGAGGGTTTAGGGTTTGCAGCAGGGCCTAGGGTTTACTCACGAGGGTTCTCAACTCCCAACCCGCATGTCTCGTCTTCGCAACCGCCACGCGAAACTGCAGGTCTTCAGGCAATCTGCAGCACACGCGCCGCAGCTCTGCTGCTGCTGCTGCTGTTGCTGCTGCTGCTGCTGCTGCAGTTCACTGCAGGCAGACGTGCCTATCCCGCGCACTACCCCTGCCAATCCAACGCAGCCACCGCCTCACCCGCCGCCACCCCAGCTGCTGCAGCAGCTTCAAACCCCAGCAGCAGCCGCAGCAGCAGCCTCAGCAGCAGCAGCAGCAGCAGTAGCAGCCCCAGCAGCAGCATCAGCAGCCCCAGCAGCCGCATCAGCAGCAGCCCCATCAGCCCCAGCCCCATCACCCTCATCCTCCTCCTCATCATCACCATGACCGTCACCCTCCTCCTCATCCTCATCATCATCATCATCAGCAGCAGCAGCAGCAGCAGCAGCAGCAGCAGGACCTGTTGGTGCAGAGTGCGGGGTCGCAGAGGCAGTGGGGGGAGCAGCTGGCGATGGGGCGGAAAGTTTTGACGAAGGCCGCGTTGGCTCCGCCGCAGTAAATGCGGCCAGACACCGGGTCCCGCAGCGCGTCGCAGTAGCGCGGCAGCTCGCTGCAGCAGCAGCAGCAGCAGCAGCAGCAGCAGCAGCGGGGGGGGGGTGGGGAGGGGGCAGGAGGTGAGGTGTGAGGGTGGAAGAGGGACGGAGGGAAATAAAAGTGAGTTTAAGAAGAATTAAAAAGGGAGATTGAAGGAATTAAAAGTGAATTGAAATGAAAGACAGAAAAAAAGAATTCAAAATGAACAAAAAAATAAGTAAATGTGAATTTAAAAAGGAAACAAAAAAAGCAACAAGCGACACACGGGGGCAAAAAAAGAAGACTAAAGTGCGCCAAAGAGAGCCAAAAGAAGAGAAAAAAAGACAGAAAAAAAACAAAAAAGGTAAAAGAGATCAAGGGAAACAATAAAGGAAAAAAGGAAACAAAGAGACGAAAGAAGACAAAAAGGATTAAAACGAATTAAAAAAAGATTCAAAAAAGAATCCAAAAAGATCCAAAAAGACGCCAAAAATGGCAAAAAGAGGCTCCATTCGCTGAAAAGACGGGCGAGATGGAAACAGAAAAAAAGGCCAAAAGGAAGACAAAAAAAGCCCAAAGACACCGAAAAAAAGGAAAGAAAGAAAGGAATCAAAAGGAGACAAATAAAGGAAGAAAAAGGGAGAAAAAGCTGCAAAAAAGTCCAAAAAATGCAAAAAAAATATAAAGATGAAACTTCTGACATGCGCTCCCAGTCCGAAGTGTCCGCCCCCGGAGGCACACAGCCGGTGCAAAGGCAAAGCATTAAGGAACTCGGCAAACGCCCAAACAGCACATTCCGCTGCTGGTAGCTGCAGCAGCAGCAGCAGCAGCAGCAGAAGCGGCAGCAGCAGCAGCGGAGCGGCACAGCAGCGGCTGATGCAGAAGCGGTTGGGTGGGGCGGGCGGCGTGCAGGAGAAATCACAGCAAGAGGCAAAAGCCGACAGCAGCAGCAGCAGCAGAAGCAGCAGCAGCTGCTGCTGCTGCTGCTGCAAGAGGCAAGTGGAGAGACCCAAGCAGACACGGCAAAGACGCAGAGCGAGCCAACCCCTAAACCCCAAACCCTAAACCCTTAAACCCTAAACCCCAACCCCCCACCCCCAACCCCCAACCCCTAAACCCCAAACCCTAAACCCTAAACCCTCAACCCCAGCCCCCAAACCCTAAACCCTAAACCCTAAACCCTAGCCGCACCAGAAGTCCGTGGGGGGCGGCTCGGAGTCGACTTCGTTGATGGCTTTGATGCAGAAGCGCTCGCGGCCCTGCGAGATATCTTCCCAGGGGCTCCAGCAGCAGGGGAGGGGGGCCCCCAGCTCCAGCGAGGAGACGATCCCGCAGCTGCTGCTCTGCAGCAGCAGCAGCAGCAGCAGCAGCAGCGGCGGCGGCGGCGGTGGCAGCGGCAGGGGCAAAGGTCGGGGGGGAGGCTGGGGATGCAGCAGCACGAGTGGCAGCTGCTTTCGGCTCGTTGCTGACGCGCTGCAGCTGCAGCTGCAGTAGCAGCTGCAGCAGCTCACCCTGCTGCTGCTGCTGCTGCTGTTGCTGCTAGGGAGGCAGCAGGCAAGGACTGTACCTGGGGCAAATACAAGTGGGCGAACTGCAGCGCATGCGCTTTGCTGACAATTAGCCGGGCCTCCTTCTTGCGCCACATGAGGGTGCGGTGACCGCTGCTGCTGCTGCTGCTGCTGCCGTTGCTGCTGCTGCTGCTGTTGTTGCTGTTGCTGCTGCTGCGCTGAGCCGCCTCTATCTTCTCCAGCAACCTTTCCAGGTTCTCTTGAGGCCCGAGGCACTTGGCCTGTCTGCTGCCGTTGCTGCTGCTGCTGCTGTTGCTGCCGCTGCTGCTGCTGCTGCTGCTGGCCTCTGAGGTCCCCCCTTCCTGCTGCTCGCTGTCTGAGCTGCGGAGGCGGCAGCCCCCGCCTTCCCAGCCGGCGCCGCCCCAGCGCTGCCCCGTTGCTGCTGCTGCTTCGCTGCCTGCTGCTGCTGCTGCTGCTGCTGCTGCTTCCTTCAAGTAAGTGTCCACCAGCCGCTGCCGCTCTGCAGCAGACACGGGAGTCAGCTCCAGCTCATAAGACTCCACCCGCAGCACAACTGGCAGAAACCCGCATGCAGCCCACGCTGGGATCGATCCCGATCCCGATCCCGATCCCGAGATGCTGCTGCGGGCTAGGGCCAAGGCGTCTGCCACGCTGCACTCGGGGTCATTCCCGCTGCTGCTGCTGCTGCTGCTGCGGCCCCACTGCGGTAGCAGCTCGTTGTAAACCTGCAGCAGGAGACACAGAAGCCTTCTTGTAGATCCTAAGCAAGAAACGGGTTTACTGCCGCTGCTGCTGCTGCGGTTGCTGCTGCTGCAGTGCAGCAGCAAAGAGGGGAAAGCAGCAGCACCTGGTACGCTGCAGCAACAACGCTGGCAAGACTCGCAATCGTAAAGCCTCCGCCACTGAGGGGGATGAAGGGGGGCACTGTGAGGGCAAAGGGCCTCGGGAGGTCGCTGTAGACCTGAGCAGCAGCAGCAGCAGCAGCAGCAGCAGCAGCAGAAGCAGCACGAGTTGGCTGCAGCATCGGAGGCAACGGCTGTCGCAGAAGACTCGCCGCCTCCAGGGAAGCACTGGCACGCGGCAGGTGCAGCAAATAGCAGCATCACGCGCCTCGGCAGCAGCCGCACAACAACGGCAGCAGCAGCAGCAGCAGCAGTGACAGCAGCACACCCACCTCGACGACCCGTGTGGTGGTGCCCGGAAGAGACAAGGGATCTGCTGCCTCCATTTGCTTCTGCACTCGCCGGTGAGCAGCAAACTGGCGCTCTGCTAGCTG